GGCAGTCGTCGAGCAGTGTCGCTCACACAAGCCGCAGCACAAGTGACTGAGGGCCAGTGAGGGCGAGCCCATCGCTGTCACAGCTGTGGCAGCCGCACAGTAGGCTGTGCCAACTGTGCAGAGCGTGTGAGCAGCAGAGGAGCTGCTCTCCAAGCTTCAGGCGCAAAGAGATGCGTGCCACCGAAAGCGCTGTCGAGGTTCGCCGAGCGCGGCGAAATCCGGGGACGCCGTCACCGACGAGCGCGTTGGACTTTTCACTCCGGACAAAGACGGGGACACGGCGGACGGTGCGGGGTGTGTCCCCGTCATAGCGGCGAGGCGCGGGACCGTCTGTGGCGAGGTGGGTCGCGTCCCCGGATTTTGTTCACGGGCCACACCCTTCACATGTACATGTTTTAGGTGTATTGTTGGCAAAACATGTACTCTAACCTACGGGGTGTGGAGGGTGAGTTGAACAAGGGGTTGTGCGCCGGGCCCTCCTGCTCGGCTCCAGCCAGTAGACAAGTCTTGTCATCAACAGAGTAGAAGGATCTGACCTCGGGGCCGATGTGACCAAGCGCTGGTAGCGTGGTTTTACCTCACACCCATGGTCTCACAGTGTGCCGGCAGTCGCCGGAGCAGTGTCGCTCACACAAGCCGCAGCACAAGTGACTGAGGGCCAGTGAGGGCGAGCCCATCGCTGTCACAGCTGTGGCAGCCGCACAGTAGGCTGTGTCAGCTGTGCAGAGTGTGTGAGCAGCAGAGGAGCTGCTCTCCAGGCTTCAGGCGCAAAGAGATGCATGCCACCGAAAGCGCTGTCAAGGTTCGCCGAGCGTGGCTCAGGTTGAGGGACACCGCCACCGACGAGCGCGTTGGAGTATTCACTCCGGACAAAGACGGCCACACGCACACGAGCTGCGGCCGTGTGGCCGTCATAGCGGCGAGGCGCGGGACCGTCTGTGGCGAAGTGGGTCGCGTCCCTCGATTTTGTTCAACCCAGCATCCACACCCTTTAGGCTAGTTCCATTTCACTCTGACACGCTAATCTTGAAAACGTCCAACGGAGCTCCGTGTTGCTCCCAGCGCCCTCCCCCGCGCTTCCTGCGGCCATGGCCGATGATACTAGTATGAGAGGTCATCTGGCTACCGCGAGCGCGACTCAACTCGCCGACGTCGTCCGATGATTGTGCCTCAAAGTCAGCCTCCGGAGGCTATCGTGGGGTCGAGCCGGCAGTAGCCGTGACATGTGGTTCCACCACCCCTCGCAGGCTTTGCCTCTGACCGCCACCGTTCCCAGGCTGCCAAATGGGATGGAAAGGAAGGCTCGGCGAGCGTATAGAAGCGTGCTCGACCTCGTCGTGGCAACCTGCACGGCAGCGCTGGTAGGCGCGATGAGCGTCGTGCCACCTGACCCGAGACGGGTCGCAGGCGTCGTACCGAGCGCGTCGAGACCGTGTCCTGATGTGATCTGCACGGGTGAGTCACGTCGGCGTCAAAGGAGCGACGTGCGACCTGTCAGAGCTTGATCTCCGATCTCAGCGGCGTCGAGTCGTCTCCGGCGCGCGACAAAGGTACATCCCCAGGACGCGCAGAAGGCAGCTGCGATCGGGGATACTGCTCTGACAGGCCACACGTCGCTCCTTTGACGCCGACGTGACTCACCCGTGCAGATCACATCAGGACACGGTCTCGACGCGCTCGGTACGACGCCTGCGACCCGTCTCGGGTCAGGTGGCTTGACGCTCATCGCGCCTGCCAGCGCTGCCGTGCAGGTTGCCACGACGAGGTCGAGCACGCTTCTATACGCTCGCCGAGCCTTTCTTTCCATCCCATTAGGTAGCCTGGGAACGGTGACGGTCAGAGGCAAAGCCTACGAGGGGTGGTGGAACCACATGTCACGGCTACTGCCGGCTCGACCCCACGATAGCCTCCGAAGGCTGACTTTGAGGCACCATCATCGGACGATGTCGACGAGTTGGGTCGCTCTCGCGGTAGCCAGATGACCTCCCATGCTAGTACCATCGGCTAGGGCCGCAGGGAGCGCGGGGGAGGGCGCTGGGAGCAACACGGAGCTCCGTTGGACGTTTTCAAGATTAGCGTGTCAGACTCAGAGTGAAATGGAACTAGCCTTGAGCACTTGAGCACTGGATAGGGATTAGGGTCGATTCCGCATGGTATAGGGACCCCTCCGATCGTCTCGCCCTCCCTCTACTAGCTCTATTAGACTCTAACACCTTTTGAAAGAAGAGTCGTGTAATTCCTCTCTGGCCGCCCTCCCCGCCGGGGGTGGGGGGGGGTCGGTCCCACCTCGCAGGGCGGCCCCAGGCTCTTGCGTCTTGGCTCACATGACCTGGCGCGTGGAGATCGGCCCGTAGCTGGGATCGGGGGTGTGGTACTCGTTGCGGTGGTCGTAGTCGGTGCACGCGCGCCTGTGCACGGATGAGCAAAGAGAGGCAGGTGTGTGAGTGCAGGTTGTGTGGAGTGCGGGCGGGGCGAGCGTCGCAAACACCGGCAACGTTTGGGGCGCGCGGCTCCGTCGAGGACCGGGCGCGCCCCTTACCCGGCGCGGCGTAGGTCCCACTCTAACGTATAGAGGGGAGGCACGGACAACGGCCCAATTCATCAATTCCACTCATCTTCTGGTGCCTAGCCCCGTGCAGCGGCGGTCCGGCAGGCTGCCCCCAAGGCCCCCTGGGCCGCTGCGGGTTTTGGAGTTATGCTTTGGCACAGCTTCGGCGATGGCGGCCCCTCTCTGGGGCTTGCATAGGCGGGGAGTCTCCCCCGCTGGTCTCCTCATTCCCTTTTTTCTTTTTCTTTTGAGCTGGGTGTGCCGCCGCGCGGAGCTCGCGCGGCGGCGGCGTGTGTGTGTGTGTGTGGTGGTGGTGGTGGGGGGGGGCACTGTGTGCTCTAAGTGGCTGAAAAAACAATCAATTGTTTTTTGAGCCCCTACGCCCTCGGGACGCGCACCGCGCTACTGCTCCCGGGCCAGGGGTGTAAGGGAACACACTAGGGCACACCAGGGCCGGTCTAGCCGGCCTTATCCCGCCCACAACCTTCGAAAACGCACAAAAATCGCACCGCCGGAGCCGCGGCGAATCGCTACCGGAGGCCGCGTGTCGCGCCACCGACGGCCGCACGTCGAACCCCCGGCTCCGCGCCGCTGCTCCACCGCGCCGGCCATCCAGCGCGCACCCCCCAAGCTGCTGGTGCCCTCTTAAAGGGCCACAAAGCCTCGAAAGGAGCCGTCGACCGTCACCTAACAGAGGGGTGTCGGCCCCGGGCTCGCCGCTCTTGCGAGCGGTCGGCGGCGTCTAGGGCGGAGCCAGCGGTAGTAGCGGTGGTGCCGGCGTGTGCCGTGACGGAGGGGGTGGCGGCGGGGCGCGGACGGCGGGGTGCGGCGGCCGAGGCTCGAGCGGGGGGGGCGGCAGCGGTGGCACCATCGTCGGCGGAAGTTCGACCTGGCGGGTGAGAGGTGGGAGGCGCCGAGGGCGGAACCGCTGCGGACGCGGCGAGGTTGGAGGCGCAGAGGCCGAGGCGGCACGGGCGGCGGCGCCGACGGCACTGCAGCGCCGGTGCAGCGCCGGGGAGGGCGGCTGAGGTGGCGCGGACGGCGGTGGCGAGAAGGCGGGCGGAAGCTTAGACGGGTGGTGGTGGAGGAGGCGGCAAAATCACGGGCGAAGCGGCGAGGGGGGCGGCGGAGGCGGTGCACCAGCGGTGGGGAGGGTAGCTACGGCGGCGGGGTAGCGGCCAGCATCGCCAGGGGGGGCGGGAGGTGCCGCGGGTGCCGCACGGGCGGCGGCGGCCGTGCCGGTGATGGCGCCTGGTAAAGGGGAGGCGCGGGTCTGAGAGGCGGACGCGCGGGCGGGAGAGGTGAGTGAGACCATGCACGCGGCTGCGGTCGCGTCGCGCCGTGCGGGAGGGGCGCCGGCGCAACCACGGCGGCAGCCGAGGCGGCTCATCGCGCCGTACAGAGGCTCCGGGGAGGCGCGCGGTGCGGCGGCGCACCGGTGGATCGCCGCGGCAAAGTGTAGCCGAGGCGGGGCGGCAAGCGCCCGAGCCGGCCGTTGGGGCGGCGCCGACGCCGCCCAGGATGCCGTGGGCCGATGGTGCGGAGAAGCGGCCGCTCCCCCTCTCGGGGCGGCCGCAAAACCTGTGCAGCAGCAGCACGCCGAGAACGCGCCTGCGGGGGGTGAGGTGCCTAATGTGAGATTGCGGCCGCCGCCGCGGTTATTTTCTCCGTCCATTTTGCATGTGCCTTGGGAAGGGGGTGCAAGCACACCTCCGCTACTCGGAATATAGGGTCGTCTGACTCGATCGCGAGCGAGCGCGGGTAGACGGTGGCGTCCGCAAAGCGACGGCTCGCGCGCGACCGCGGGCTTGCGCGTCGGCCGTGCGCGGGCAGAGGGCGCGGAGGGGCGAGCGGTGGCGGTCGCTCGCCCGGGCAACCCGCGCGCGGGCGGCGCGCCGCAGCGGGGAGCGCCCAGGGGCGCGGCGCGGCTGGCTGCGAGCGGGCGCTTGACATCGTTTTTGAGGAGAGATAGCCCAAAAATATACCCGCGGATAGAGCACACAGTGGGGGGGGGGGCTCGAGGGCGCGCGGGGCAGAGGCTCGGTCATCGGCTCGTCGGGGTTGGGGAAGGGGAGGGGGGATGGGCGGTCGGCGTCGGGGTAGAGCGACAGGGGCGTACGGGGTAGCCGTCACTTTCCTGCCTCGAAAGGGCGGGGCTGTCCCGGAAAGTGAGAAACGCCGGGCAGCGTGGCGCATCATTGAACCCTCCCATACGTGCTTGTGCTCCTCCTTCGCTGTCCCATCTCCTCATCTCTTTCCCACCTAGGCGGGGCGGGGGTCGGGGGGGCGGCGGGCGCGGGTGCGAGGTGCGGTGCGGTGCGTGCAATCGTGTGTTTGGCGTCATGTCGTGTGTGCCTTCGCTTGTTCCTATTAACAACGAAGTCTAGCTCAAAAAGAGAAATTACGGTCTTTACAAGAAAAAGAAATCGCCCGCCATGGCCTCCCACCGCATCGGCGCCCGCCTGTCTGGCCTCTCGCCAGAGCAGCTCGTCGCCTTCATCGACGAGCAGGCGCCTCTCTGGAGCGCCGCCGCAATGCGCGTGGCGGAGGAGCACGCCGCACGCGTGGAGCAGAGCGAGTGGGTCCTCTCCGAGGTCCTCCTCTCGCCGGACCTCGCCCCGCACATCCTCGCCCAGCTGCCGACCGAGGCGCACGCCGCCAAGGGGACGTGCCGCGCGTGGCGCCGCGGCTGGAAGGAGACTCTGAAGAAGCGCGAGAGGCCGCGCCTGCTCGTGTTTGGCGGCCAAGACAGAGAGGGCGAGTTCCTCAACTCGCTGGAGCGGTTCGACCCGTTTTCAAATGAGTGGGAGGAGGAGGCTGTGGCGCCGATGCCAACGGCACGAACGAATGTCCGCACGGCGGTGCTAGATAACAAGCTGTACGCTGTGGGAGGTCGCAACAACTACGGCGGCTTCCTCAGCTCGGTGGAGCGGTACGACCCGGCGACGAATGCGTGGGAGGCGAGCCGCGGAGAACAGGCGGTGCTGTGCGCGAAGCGCGCGCGATCTCGTACTTTTAAGGCTGGATCCGGCCATTCCAAGGGTATACCTTTGAGAATCCCCAGCGTCCCACCCTCCTAGTCACACTCTCAATATCTCGACTCTCCAACACGAAGTGCTGCGATCGGGGGTGGCCCATTTCTTTTTTCTTTTCTTTTTTTGGGTCCTGTGGGCACCCTACTGTCGCAAGGCGTGATAGCATGGCCGCAATACCGGGAATACGCCGAATTCCCATGAAAACAAGTAAAAAATCGCGCGAAAAAAGAAAAGGCAGCGTGATTGCCGAATCCCGTTGGGACACAAAACTGCGCCGACCTGATCGCGCCCGTGACGCCGCTTGGAAAAGAACGGCGGCGGCATCTTGCCGGGCCTGCTCGACGTACGCCAGCACTGCAGCGATCGCCGAGGGGCTGCGAACTGGCAGGGGCAGTCGGAGAAGGGGCAACTCGGGCAAGTCGGAGCCGGACAGCGACCGAGCAGCAGCTGGCGTGTCCTGACTTGCCAACAATATACCTACAGCAGCTGGCGGGTCGGGCATGTCGCAGCCGGACAGCGACCGAGCAGCAGTCGCGACGACCCGGGACCAGCGATTGGGGAGCAAGCCGTGGAAACAAAAGAATTTTACAAAAAAAATCGAAACTCCCTCGCGCAACACTGGGCACAGGACTGGGCACGGGACTGGCGCGCACTGGCATGGAAACAAAAGAATTTTAACTTCTCGCACGACTCTAGGCACGGGACTGGCACTACAAAAGAATTTCGTAGCGCACCCGCCAAATCTCTCATCAAGTCGACGACGTCGGGGAGAGGCTCGTGGCAAACGGCTTCTTACGCTCGGCCACAGTGGGGGGTGCCCGCGCCGCCTAGCTCTGCGGACGGCCCCCCCTACCCTTCATGTAATCATGTAGTCCCCACAATCGCTGACGTGGGATCGCTTGTTATCTGACGTCTTTCCTGATTCTTCCGAGAGAATTCTTGATACGAAACCACGACGACACACACCAGTCGACTCGCATCGGTTGCCTCCATGAACGGCGGAGCTATTCTCGCGCCCACACCACACCTGGCTCCAACGTGGACACGCCCATAGCTGGGGACACTACTAGGTCACGCATGGCATCAGAAGTTTTATCTCTGGGCTCTCTCTCTCTCTCTCTCTCTCTCTCTCTCTCCTGATTCTTCCCCGTCGCCTGTGGAGAAAAAAAATCTTTTCGCGGGAAAGCGCAGGATGGAGACGGACCTCCACGTTCGGAGGGCGACGTCTAGGGCCGGCTCGCCACTGATCGCCGAGGCTTCAGGCGCCACGCTCGCCTCGAGCATCGCCAACCTCACCAACACCAACGTCGGCGTCGGCATGCTGGCCATGCCGGCGGCGCTGGCGTCGGCGGGTTGGGTCGGCGGCTTATCACTGCTTGCGTTTGCTGCGCTGGCGTCGGCGTTCGCCTCTTCGCTGCTGGTCGACTGCGTCGACCACGTCGGCCGTCCGGCCACCCTCTCGTGCATCACCTCGGCCGCCTTTGGTCCTCTCGGCCGGGCGCTGGTCGATGTCGCCGTGGCGAGCTTCTGCGCCTCGTGCGCCATCGGCTACCTGATCGTGGCGGGCGACTCGCTGCCGGACGTGGTGCGCGCGCTCGACGACAGCGCCCTCCCGGACGAGAGCCTGTGGCTGCGGCGCGAGACGTGGATCGTTGGGAGCGCGCTGGTTGTGGTTGCGCCGCTCTCGTGCATGCGAGACATCGACTCGCTCCGCTTCGCCTCCTTCCTCGTGCTGGTCTGCGCGGTTGCCATCGGGGCGACGGTGCTGCTCTTCTCGGCCGGCGCGGCGGGATTCGACGCCCACGAAGGGTGCGAGGCCGGCAACTCGCGCTGCTTGGGTCACCGCGTCAGCGTCACCTCGGCAGGGAGGACTCTCTCCGCCCTCACCACCTTTGCCTTCGCCTTCGCCTCCCAGCCGAACGTCGTCGCGGTCTCGTCGGAGCTGCGCTCGCCCACCCGCGCGCGCATGCTCGGCGTGATCGCAGGTTCGGTCTGCCTGTCCGCGACCATCTTCGGCCTGCCTCGCCCCCCGCAGTACACACGCGGGCAAAAACGAAACACGCGCGGCTCACCCTCCGGCTGCGAGGACAGGCATCCTCGCCTCCGCGGGGTACTACACCTTTGGCGACGCCGTCTGCTCGGACCTGCTCCTCTCCTACCCCGAGACGCCGCTCCTCTCGCTCGCCCGCCTCGCACTCACCTACGTCGTCCTCCTCTCCTACCCCGTCGTCTCGTACCCGGTGCCGTACTGCTGCGACTCGCTGCTGCACCTCCTCTCGCTCCGTCGACCAGCAACTACCACCGACTAGGTGCCGTACTGCTGCGACTCGCTGCTGCACCTCCTCTCGCTCCGTCGACCAGCAACTACCACCGACTAGGTGCCGTACTGCTGCGACTCGCTGCTGCACCTCCTCTCGCTCCGTCGACCAGCAACTACCACCGACTAGGTGCCGTACTGCTGCGACTCGCTGCTGCACCTCCTCTCGCTCCGTCGACCAGCAACTACCACCGACTAGGTGCCGTACTGCTGCGACTCGCTGCTGCACCTCCTCTCGCTCCGTCGACCAGACTACCACCGACTAGGTGCCGTTCTGCTGCGACTCGCTGCTGCACCTCCTCTCGCTCCGTCGACCAGACTACCACCGACTAGGTGCCGTTCTGCTGCGACTCGCTGCTGCACCTCCTCTCGCTCCGTCGACCAGCAACTACCACCGACTAGGTGCCGTTCTGCTGCGACTCGCTGCTGCACCTCCTCTCGCTCCGTCGACCAGACTACCACCGACTAGGTGCCGTTCTGCTGCGACTCGCTGCTGCACCTCCTCTCGCTCCGTCGACCAGCAACTACCACCGACTAGGTGCCGTACTGCTGCGACTCGCTGCTGCACCTCCTCTCGCTCCGTCGACCAGACTACCACCGACTAGGTGCCGTTCTGCTGCGACTCGCTGCTGCACCTCCTCTCGCTCCGTCGACCAGACTACCACCGACTAGGTGCCGTTCTGCTGCGACTCGCTGCTGCACCTCCTCTCGCTCCGTCGACCAGACTACCACCGACTAGGTGCCGTACTGCTGCGACTCGCTGCTGCACCTCCTCTCGCTCCGTCGACCAGCAACTACCACCGACTAGGTGCCGTACTGCTGCGACTCGCTGCTGCACCTCCTCTCGCTCCGTCGACCAGCAACTACCACCGACTAGGTGCCGTACTGCTGCGACTCGCTGCTGCACCTCCTCTCGCTCCGTCGACCAGACTACCACCGACTAGGTGCCGTTCTGCTGCGACTCGCTGCTGCACCTCCTCTCGCTCCGTCGACCAGACTACCACCGACTAGGTGCCGTTCTGCTGCGACTCGCTGCTGCACCTCCTCTCGCTCCGTCGACCAGCAACTACCACCGACTAGGTGCCGTACTGCTGCGACTCGCTGCTGCACCTCCTCTCGCGCGGCGCATGCGGCGTCGGATCGAGCCGCGCGTCGAGGGAGCTGATAGCCGAGACGTGGCGGAGATATCGCCGCGATGTGGCGGAGATATCGCCGAGATGCGGCGGCAATCGACAGACTCGATCGAAACAGTGCCAAGGGCCGCGCACAGAGCGCGAGCTGTGAACGAGGTGCGAGGAAGCTGTGAGTGGGAGCAGCTGCCGCGCGGGGACAAAAGAGAGCCCCCCCCCCCCCCCCCAAAAAAAGAACACCAGCCGTCCCCAACTGGGAA